GAGTATACTAAGAGTCATTGAATTGTTCACTTTAAATAGGTAAATTGTATATGTGAACTATATCTCAATAAGGCTGTTATAAAAAAATTATAAAGAGACAAGCTATCCTAGGGACCTCATAGGGGTTTAGTTCCTGTTCTTTTCAACTAAGATATTAGTGTCTCTTTTGCCAGGTGCTTAGAGAAGGTCCTAAGAGATTTACCTGGCTACATGGTGGAAAAGAACTGCTGGAATTAAAAGGGAGGAGCAAAAGGAATGTTCTGCTAAAATAATTAAAGAATCATTCTAACCTACCAAATGCTGTACAATCAGAGTCATGACTCGTAACCCTGACAAAGATTAGACTTTGGGGAGAAAATTAATAATAGAACCTGGATTCCTAATTAAGTCCTGTTAAGAATGTGATATTCCCACCCTCTAAGAATGGCAACCACTGTCAAGAGCAGTCTTCTTCCTTTGCCTGCTGAAGCTTTAGCCCTGCCGAAGCTTTAAGCCTCTCCCCTTTTTTTTAATCGATCCAGATCACTGCTGTTTCAGCCTAGAGCGTCTACTCTGAACTCTCTGAAGTTACAGATTAGAAGTAGTCGTGGGACTTCCCTGGTGGTCCAGTGGTTAGGACTCTGTGCTTCCACTGCAGGGGGTGTGGGTTTGATCCCTGGTAGGGGAACTAAGATCCTGCAAGCTTCATGGCGCGGCCAACCTCCTAGACCCATCTCCTAGAGTAATGGAAATAAAAACAAAAATAAACAAATGGGACCTAATGAAACGTAAAAGCTTTTGTGCAGTAAAGGAGACTATAAACAAGATGAAAAGACAACCCTCAGAATGGGAAAAAATATTTGCAAACAAATCAACGGACAAAGGATTAATCTCCAAAATATCTAAACAGCTCATGCAGCTCAATATTAAAAAAACAAACAACCCAATCCAAAAATGGGCAGAAGACCTAAATAGACGTTTCTCCAAAGAAGACATACAGATGGCCAAGAGGCACATGAAAAGCTGCTCAACATCACTAATTATTAGAGAAATGCAAATCAAAACTACAATGAGGTATCACCTCACACCAGGTAGAATGGGCATCATCAGAAAGTCTACAAACAACAAATGCTGGAGAGGGTGTGGAGAAAAGGGAACCCTCTTGCCCTGTTGGTGGGAATGTAAATTGATACAGCCACTATGGAGAACAGTATGGAGGTTCCTTAAAAAACTAAAAATAGAATTACCATATGACCCAGCAATCCCACTCCTGGGCATATACCCTGAGAAAACCATAATTCAAAAAGACACAAGCACCCTAGTATTCATTGAAGCACTATTTACAATAGCCAGGTCATGGAAGCAACCTAAATGCCCATCAACAGACAAATGGATAGAGAAGATATGGCACATGTATACAATGGAATATTACTCAGCCATAAAAAGGAACGAAATTGGGTCATTTGTGGAGATGTGGATGGACCTAGAGACTGTCACACAGAGTGAAGTAAGTCAGAAAGAGGAAAACAAATATCGTATGTTAATGCATATATGTGGAATCTAGAAAAATGGTACAGATGAACTGGTTTGCAAGGCAGAAATAGAGACACAGATGTAGAGAACAAACATATGGACACCAAGGGGAGAAAGCAGTGGGGGGGATGGGTGGTGGTGGTGGGTTGAATTGGGAGATTGGGATTGACGTATATACACTAATATGTATAAAATAGATAAATAATAAGAACCTGCTGTATAAAAAAATAAATTAAGTTTATTCCCATTTGGCATATGCAGACCTGTACGTTGGGCTCCAAAAAGTTTTGTAATCATTACTTTTATTTATTTTTAAAATTATTATTATTATTTTGTCCATGCTGCGCGGCTTGCAGGATCTTAGCTCCCTGACCAGGGATTGAACTGAGACCACGGCAGTGAAAGAAGCACAGAGTCCTAACCGCTGGATCGCCAGGGAACTCCCATTACTTTTAAAACAATATCTGGCTCTGCTTATTCCTGTTTCCTTTTTCAAAATGTTCTTTTAGAAACAATTCTTTATTTTTCAAAATTAGCATTTATAATTTTAGAGATCAAGCATAATCAAGATGGCCTGTAACTATTTAGCATAAATAAAGGACAGAGAAATTATAGGGTTTTTTTACACTCTTGTAGAGGTTTTTTTATTTAGATATCATTAACATTCAGATTAAAAGTTTTCCCTGTTTTATTGAGATATAATTGACATACAACACTGTATAAGTTTAAAGTGCATGGTATAATGATTTGACTTACACATATTGTGAAATTATTACTACAATAAGTTTAGTTAACATTCATCATCTCATATAGATAAGTATTATTGTTGTTTTTTTTTTTAAGTGACATGGTATTTAAGGTAAATTGTAGCAGCCTTCTACAGATAAGGAAAGTGAGACCTAAGGACATTTAGTGACTTACTCAAGTTGATACAGGTAATATAGTGGGGATTCTCAATCTCAAGTTCTACAGTTACTCCATGTTGCCTATACCCACATGTAATGGCATTGAATAAAAGGGATTCAATATCTCTTTTTTTTCCTATTTATTTATTTATTTATTTTTGCCTGCGTTGGGTCTTAGTTGCGGCGAGTGGGGGCTACCCTTCCTTGTGGTGCGCGGGCTTCTCGTTGAGGTGGCTTCTCTTGTTGCGGAGCACGGGCTCTAGGCACTCAGGCTTCGGTAGTTGCGACATGCAGGCTCTAGGGTGTGTGGGCTTCAGTAGTTGCAGCACGTGGGCTCAGTAGTTGTGGCTTGCAGGCTCTAGAGTGCAGGGTCAGTAGTTGTGGCTCACGGGCTTAGTTGCTCCTCGGCATGTGGGATCTTCCCAGACCAGGGCTCAAACCAGTGTCTCCTGCATTGACAGGCGGATTCTTAACCACTTCTCCACCAGGGAAGTCCCTCAATATGTTATGAATGGCACCCATGCTGACCATACTCAACCGCTAAGTATTGACCTGAGATTGAATTATTCTATCCATCTGAAGCCTTGAATACATAACAAATACATTAATGTGCATTGTAAGAAATGTAATGAATTGTACTCAAATTTCTTTAATTTCTCAACCTCAACCCTTAGTCTTTTATGTTGAAATGAGAAAATTTAGGATCATTTTAATATGAATTTTTACTCTGGGATCCAGAAGTCTTTCAGAGCTCCCACTTACAAAACAGCTAAACAACTGTGGCAAGAACTTACCCAGATTCATCATTTGGCTGTTATTGGTGTCCCAGGAAACCTTTTATTTTTATATATGAAAAAAATGCCTTCTTATCATCATGTATGCTGGTGGATTTCTTTTGGTGGGATGGGGGTGTTAGAAGGAGGGATTTTAAAGAGGTACTTACTGATGTTCGGGGCTGGTACGAGGGTGAGGCAGGTGCAGAATTTAAGGGCGTGACAAAACCCAAAGCAATCAAGATAAATGCCATTTTAATGGGATAGTTTTAAAAAATCAAAATTAATGCAAAGAATCCATGATGAACAAAATGCTAAAATTATAAGTAAAGGCAAGACCCAGCAGGGTTGGGATCAGGAGATGACAAATGATGTGAGTTCTGCAAGTGCAGAGTCAGATTCTGTTTTATTTAAAATTTTGATATTTTGTTCATCACAGAGATTTCTTTTTTTAAAAAGAAAACATTGCAGTGAAATATTATTTATCTTGATTGCTGAATTTTTTGGCACCCCCTTAAATTCTGCACTTGAGGCGAATGCCTCTCTTGCCTTGCCCTAGCCCTGAAGACCTTTCCCAGGGAAAGCTGGAAAGAAGCTCGCACACCACCCACCCCACGTGTGCCTGGCTTTGGTGAGCTGAGCCACACGTGTCTCAGGAAAATTTCTTTCCCTGGTATCACTGATGGTGAGAGGAAACTTGTTTTCACTCTTTCCGTTTGGACACATTTACCTGTTCATGGGGCAGTCTCTGGCTGGTGGGCAGCTTTCCCAGGTGTTGTCATGGAGTCGGCTGACCCCATAGACCAATGCGGGAGGGAATCTTCCTGCTGAGTCTTGACATTCCCCGAATGCAAAGTAAAGTTTCTGAAAGTCCTAATGGAGGCCCAAAGGTACACACTATAAGCTTAATAATACTTGTCAAGTTGAATTAAACTTCTGAATGTTCTCAAATGCTCCACGTTTCTGAGGTTACCTTTCTTCTAACATCCAAATGAGAGACTTGGACATTGTCGTATAAAACTTGGGATGCTCCCGAGGGGAAAGGAGGATGGTTTGCACTGTCTCTGTCCTTTCCTACTCCCAGTTTCTGCTACACTGACTCTCTAACCCTGCAGGACTTCTTGCCCATGCAGCTGTAGTCCTCTCTGGGCAATGCTCTTTGCCCCATGCAGACAGCTTCTCTCCCCACCTCTCCAAGGTACCAGTAAGAAGCCTATCTGTGGAACAGATTTTTCCTGAAGGTTTGTGGGGAGTAGAGAAGGGCATGACAGCACAGTCCAGGACAGGAAACTATTTAAAATTTTAAGAAGATATGTTTGGATAAACAAGACCTAAGATAATTCATTGCCAGCAAATCTGCTATATAAGAAATGCTAAAGGGACATTTCTCAGGGTGAAAGGAAATGATATCTGATAGAAACTTGGATCTCCAGGAAGAATGAAGGGCAAATAAATATAAGAATAAATATTAGAAACCATTTGAAAATACTTCATTTCTTTAAAATACTTATGAATATTTAAAGCAAAACTTTTAACATTGTATTGTGAAGTTTACAACTTATGAAAATGTAACATAATACATATTTTAATATAAAGTGGCACAATATTAATTCTAAATAGACTGTTAAATGTTAAGGATATGTATTTTAATTTCTACAGTGACCACTTAATTTTTTAATTTAATTTAACTTTTATCTTATATTGGAGTACAGTTGATTTACAGTATTGTGTTAGTTTCAGGTGTACAACAAAGTGATTCAGTTATACATGTACATATATCCATTCTTTTTCCGATTCTTTTCCCATATAGGCCATTACAGAGTATTGAGTACAGTTCCCTGTGTTATACAGTAAGTCCTTGTTGATTATCTATTTTATATATAGTAGTGTGTATATGTAAACCTCAAACTCCTAATTTATCCCTCCCGCCCACCTTTCCCCTTTGGTAACCATAAGTTTGTTTTTGAAGTCTGTGAGTCTGTTTCTATTTTGTAAATAAGTTCATTTTTATCATTTTTTTTTTAGATTCCACATATAACTGATATCATGTGATATTTGTCTTTCTCTGCCTGACTTAACTTCGCTTAGTATGATAACCTCTAGGTCCATCCACATTGCTACAAATGGCATTATTGCATTCTTTTTTATGGCTGAGTAATATTCCATTGTTATATATGTACCACATCTTCTTTATCCATACCTATGTTGATAGACATTTAGGTTGCTTCCATGTCTTGGCTATAGTGAATAGTGCTGCAGTGAACACTGGGGTGCATGTATCTTTTCAAATTATGGTTTTCTCTGGATATATGCCCAGGAGTGGGATTGCTGGATCATATGGTAGTTCTGTTTTTAGTATTTTTAAGGAACCTCCATACTGTTCTCCATAGTGGCTGCACCAACTTACATTCCCACCAACAGTGTAGGAGGGTACAGTGACCACTTTAAAAATGCAAAGAAGCATAACAAAAAAAGCTAAAAGATAAAGTAGATTTCTAAAGAAATATTTAATTAACCCAAAAGAAGGCAAGATAGGAAGACAAGAGAAACAAAAAAACACCAGGGGACAAAGAGAAAACAAATAGTAAAATGGTAGACCTATATCCAACCAAATCAATGATTACATTAAAAGTTAATAGTCTGTAACACTTCAGGGACTTCCCTGGTGGCGCAGTGGGTAAGAATCCGCCTGACAATATAGGGGACACTGGTTCGATACCTGGTCCAGGAAGATCCCACATGCCGCGGAGCAACTAAGCCTGTGCACCACACCTACTGAGCCTGTGCTCTAGAGCCCGCGAGCCACAGCTACTGAGCCCGTGTGCCACAACTACTGAAGTCTGCACACCTAGGGCCTGTGCTCCTCAACAAGAGAAGCCACCGCAATGAGAAGCCTGCATACTGCAAGGAAGAGTAGCCCCCGCTCACCGCAACTAGAGAAGGCCCGCACGCAGCAACGAAGACCCAACGCCACCAAAAATAAATAAATAAATTTATTTAAAAAAATAGTCTATAACATTCCAATTAAAAGCAGAAATTGTCAGAACGGATAAAAATGCATGCTTCAACTATACTCTGTCTACAAGACACACAAGAAAAATTGATAGGAAATGAATGGAAAAAGATGTATCCTGTAAACAGTAGGCATAAGAAAGTTGAAGTGGCTAAATTAAGATCAAATAAAGTAAACTTCATGACGGAGACTATTATCAGAGATAAAAAGGGGAATCTCATAATAACAAATAGCACCAGGAAGGTGTAGCAATCATACATAACAGAGTTTCAAAATGCATGAAGGAAAAACAGAATGACAGAATTCAAAGAAATACACAAATCTACTATCATAATTGGATATTTTAACAGCTTCTCAGCAATTATAAAACAACTTGACAAAACATTAGTAAAGATATAGAAGATTTGAACAATACTATCAGCTATCTTGATCTAATTGATATTTGCAGAACAATGGATACAACAGAATGCACATTATCTTCAAGTGTCCCTGATACATTCACCAAGGTAGATTGCATGCTGAGCCATAAAACAAGTGCCAGCAAATTTAAAATGGCTAAAACTGTACAGAGAGTGTTATCTGACCACAATGAAGTTACAAATCAGTAATAATAGGTGTAGACAACTCCAAATACTTGGAACTTAAACAGCACAGATCTAAATAATCCAAACAACCTCAGAAGATATTACAAAATATTTTAACTGAATGATTATAAAACTAAGACATACCAAACTGTGAGACAAAACAAAGCAATTCTTAGAGATATATTTATAGCTTTAAAACCGGACAGTAGAAAAAGGCTTAGGTTTCACTTTCAGAACCTAGAAAAAGAAGAGCAAAGTAAATCTAAAGTAAATGATAAGAAGGAAATAATAAAGAGGACAGAATTTATAAAAGAGAGAGCAGATAAGCAGTAAATAAATTTAACAAACCCAAAAGTTGGTTATTTGAAAAGGTCAACAAAATAAACCCCTAGATGGACCAACAACTTTCCTCCCACCTCACACAAAAAGAGAAGACAAATAACCAACATCAAAAATAAAAGAAAGGATATCACTACACATACTAAAGACATTAAAAGGCTAGTAACAGGATGTCATAAACAATTTTACGTTAATAAATTAAACCATGTAGATGAAATGGACAAATCCTTGAAAATAACATCTTACCAAAAACTGACATAAGGTAAAATTGAAAATCTGAATGTCCCTTTAGCTAGTAAATAAATTGAATTCATTATCAAAAACCTTCCTGCAAAGGAAGCTCCATGCCCAGATTGTTAACTGGTGAATTCTATCAGATCTTAAAGAAAAAATATTACCAATGTAACAAAAACTCTTTCAGAAAATAGAGAAGAAAGAAATACTTTACAATTTGTTTTGTGAGGCCAGTATAACTCTGACACCAAAACTTGCAGACATTGGAAAAGAAATTTAAGAAAGGGGGAAAGGGAGAGGGGGAGGAAGGGATCATAACCTGTGGGGTTTATCTCAGAAATGCAAGACTGGTCTAATATTGGAAAATCAATGTAATTCACCATATTAACAGAAAAAAGAGAAAAAAAATATAAGCATCTCAAGTAGTAAAAAAAAATTTTCAACAATTATTTATGACAAAAACTCTCAGCAAGTTAGGAATAGAAAATAATTTCATAAATCTGAAAAAGCGTATCTATGAAAAATCTAGAGCTAACATCATATTTAATGGTGAAATATTGAATGCTTTTCCCCTAAGATGAATAAGACAAGTATGTCTGCTCTCACTTCTTGTATTCAGCATTGTATTGGAGATCCTAGTTACTGCTGTAAGACCAGAGACATAAAAAGTGGAAAGGAAGAAGTGAAACTTCTATTTGCAGATAGTATGATTGCCTATATAGAAATACTAAGGAATCTACAACAGAACTAATAAATGGAATTAGCGACATCACAGGATACAGTGTTATTATTTTAAAAATCAGTTGTATTTTAATATACCATCAGTAAACAATTGGAAAAATGAAATTTAAAACAACAATTCCATTTACAATAGTATCAAAATCATAAAATGCTTAAGAGTAAGCTTAATAAAAGACAAATCCTGCACACTGAAAACTATAAATTATGCTGAAAAAAATTCAAGAAGACCTAATAAATGAAGAGATATACCACGTCATGGCTTAGAAGACCTGATATTGCTAATCTGTCAATTCTACCCATGTTGATATGGAGATTCAACAAAGTCGCTTTCATAATCCTAGAAGACTTCTTTTTAAAATGATAAGCTGATTCTAAAATTTATATGGAGGACCTAGAATATCCAAAGCAATACCGAAAGAAAAAGAAGATGAAGCAAAAAGTTAGAAGGACTCATGCTACTTGATCTCAAGACTTACTGTAAAGCTATAGTAATCAAGACAGTGTGATTCTATCATAAGGATCAACAAATAGGGTACTTCCCTTGTGGTCCAGTGGTAAAGAATCCTCCTTACAATGCAGGGGACAAGAGTTCGATCCCTGGTCGGGGAACTAAGATCCCACATGCAAGCGGGTCAACTAAGCCCATGTGCTACAACTACTGAGCTCTTGTGCCTCAACTAGAGAGCCTGTGTGCTGCAAACTACAGAGTCCATGCCCTCTGGAACCCACACGCCATAGATACAGAGCCCACGCACCCTGGAGCCTGTGCACCACAACTAGAGAAGAGAAAACCCGCATGCCACAACTAGAGAGAAGGCCACACGGCACAAAGATCCCACATGCCTCAACGAAGATCCCACGTGCTACAACTAAGACCCAACGCAGCCAAAAATAAATAAAATAAAATAAATAAATCTTTTAAAAAAACGGATCAACAAGTAGAGTAATGGAACAGAATAGAGAGTTCAGAAATACACTTATAGGATGGTTTAATGTTTGACGAGGTAAAGCAATCTAATAGAGAAAGGAGAGTCTTTTCAGTTAACAATGCTGGAACAACTGGATATCCATATTTTAAAAAAAGAACCTCAAACATTATCTTCTGTACAAAAATTAGTTTGAGATGGAGCATGGACCTAAATATAGAAACTAAAACTATAAAGCTTCTGTAAGCAAACCTAGGAGAATATCTTTGTGACTTGGTGGTAAGCAAAGATTTTTTTTTTTAGACAGGAAAACGAATAAGCAGGCCATAGACTGGGAGACATTATTTATAAAGAAAGCATTTGTCTGACAAAGGATTGGTATTTGGGACTTAGAAAGAACTCCTATAAGTCAAGAGCAAAAAAGACAAACAACCCAATAAAAAATGGCAAAAATTTGAATAGACATTTCACGAAGGAAGCTAGATGAATGGCCAGTGAGCACTTGAAAATGTGCTCAATGTCATTAGTTATCAGAGAAATGCAAATTAAAACCACAGTAAGGTACCACTACACACCCACCAGAACAGCTTAAATGAAAAAGACGAACACCACCAAATGTTAGCAAAGGTGTTGAACAGTATAAACTTTCCTATCTTGTTGGTAGGAGTGTAAAATCATACAACCATTTTGAAATGAAGGTCTGGCAGTTTCACATGAAACTAAGCATACCCCTACGACCCAGCAATTTTGGTTTTAGGTTATTTACCCAAGAGAAATGAAAGCCTATGTCCACAAAAAGACTAGTATGAGAACGGTAATAACATTTTTCTTTCTTTATTTTTTTATAATGTTTTATTTCTTTATTTTTAAATTTATTTATTTATTTATTTATTTTTGGGTGTGTTGGGTCTTCATTTCTGTGCGAGGCCTTTCTCTAGTTGCGGCGAGCGGGGACCACTCTTCATCGCGGTGCGTGGGCCTCTCACTGTCGTGGCCTCTCTTGTTGCGGAGCA